AACCTGAGAAAATAAATAATATATAACTTTTAGTTTAACTATTCTTTTTAAATTTCTGCACTTTTATTCCTATTGTATTATTTAAACCATGACAGATTAAGTTTTCTTTTTACTGGAAAGCTGTATTTCTACTTATTTATTACAAGTACATTTATTGCTGTTTTTTTTCCTAGCCCTTTTATTTCTTTCTTATTTTTTGACCACCCAAATAAATTTAAAACATGCTTTCCCCCATTATTTGATTTAATAATGATTTTAGTTTGCTTTTTATTTTAACAGCTTTTCTCATCTAACATATCCCTGTAGTATTTTCTCAGCAAACAGATTTCTCTTAAGCCATTTATTTCCTTCTTTCCTTTTTCTGTCACTCGTTTTTCCATGTCCTGTATTTCCTCCAAAGTAAAAACAGAGGGGTGGCTTTGGAACAGCAACAATGCTGCAGCCTTTCTCCTATTAGCCGTGGTCAGGAGCTGCAGGTGGCTGTCTGCCCAGATAAAGCTAGTAGCAATGGCTAACTTCAATCATTTTCTTGCTGATGAACTTCTAAGGGTTACAGATTTGGCAAAGTAGAATGTATCCATGCAAATGGAGAATACATGTATGTCTATACGTGTAGAAATGTATGTGAAAGGACAATGTGAGAGATAAAATATATGTCAATGAGAGTGGCAGTATGATTTATGGCTTGTATAGTCCGTCCGTCCGTCCGTCCGTCCGTCCATCCATCCATCCATCCATCCATCCATCCATCCATCCATCCATCCATCCATCCATCCATCCATCCATCAGCAGCGTCGGTGAATTATTGTTTGAAAAAAAGCAGCATTTTCCAAACGTTAAAATAATATACAATAATTTACTCCAGCGGGAGTAAAACAGATAATTGTACTTGAATCTGTATTTAGACCCAAAGTAATTAAAGCAAAACACATCTCTATGAGTTTCTGAGTAAATTGATGCAAAAGACAAATTTACATTTTGGATGTGAGCCAGCATGGGGACTTCCAATTTCTAACAAAACTGAGAAAGCAGGTTGGGCGCATCTTCTTTCCCAAACACTAGATTGATTGTTGAAATAATGTTAAATATTGAACTGTGTCTGGGTCCAATCAGACAGCAAAGAGGCAATCAATAGAATGCGAAGTAAAGATAACTGAAAAGTTCTGCTGCTGTAATCAAGAAAACAAATCCATCATTTCAAAAAGGAAAACATCAGAAAAAGGAAGCAAAGATTGTTAGACATTAATAACCTGAATCATTCTGTGCAAATGAAAACCTGTTCCAAGGAATTGTTTTTTTTTTAACAAAAGAATATACCGGTACTTTTTTTTATGATGGCTATTTTCTATACTTCTATCATCACTTTTTATTGTATATTTAGATCATGAACCCCAGTAACATACCTCTAAGTTGTAGTTTAAGGTTTTTAGTCTGTTCAGACTGTCCAAGTTTTGGCACTACTGTTGAATACCAGCTCAGAGTTCAACTGCTTGGCCACGCTCTTCTAGATGAAGCCACTGCAGCAGCTACAACTAAATCCCAGGGGAAGTTTTTTTCCCCCTACTATCAATGCATTCATTCTTGATATGAGGGATTGCATAGAGGTCGACAACACCAAGCAAGCAACTGTCTAGCTCTGTCTCCAGCACTCTTCCCTGTCTGTCCTGCCTGCTGAGCTCTTTTGCAATCTTAAACTGTATCCTGCTGAGGGTGAAGTGTGAAATAGGATCCCCCCCCTCCTCTTACCTAGTGTGATCCTTTTCTCTTTTTTTGTTCACTAATGCATGGGCAGCACGTTTGAAGACACCAAGGCCTTCGGGCACCACATCCCCTATGTCTTGTGTCTGTGTTATGTCTTTTCTTAGATGGGCTGAACCAAAACTCAATCTTATCCGACTAGAGTACAAACCTCATGCTGGGTGGCAAATGAAGCTATTCTATTCCCATTCTGCCGTTACATGTTCCTTAAGGTGGAGGGAATTCTGCAAAAATCAATTATTCTGGATTGCCCCATAGGCAGAAAACTTTTGAACCAATTTGCCTTTACGAAATGATTGAATTGACTATGTAAAGTGCCTTGATATCAAATGTCATGTATTATTGCTACATAAAAAACTGGTTGGATTTTGATTTGTTGAATTGTACTGGAAACTGTAATTTACTCCCATTCGACAACATACACTACCGTTCAAAAGTTTGGGGTCACATTGAAATGTCCTTATTTTTGAAGGAAAAGCACTGTACTTTTCAATGAAGATAACTTTAAACTAGTCTTAACTTTAAAGAAATAAACTCTATACATTGCTAATGTGGTAAATGACTATTCTAGCTGCAAATGTCTGGTTTTTGGTGCAATATCTACATAGTGGTATAGAGGCCCATTTCCAGCAACTATCACTCCAGTGTTCTAATGGTACAATGTGTTTGCTCATTGGCTCAGAAGGCTAATTGATGATTAGAAAACCCTTGTGCAATCATTTTCACACATCTGAAAACAGTTAAGCTCATTACAGAAGCTACAAAACTGACTTTCCTTTGAGCAGATTGAGTTTCTGGAGCATCACATTTGTGTGGTCAATTAAATGCTCAAAATGTCCAGAAAAAGAGAACTTTCATCTGAAACTCGACAGTCTATTCTTGTTCTTAGAAATGAAGGCTATTCTATGTGAGAAATTGCTAAGAAATTGAAGATTTCCTACAACAGTGTGTACTACTCCCTTCAGAGGACAGCACAAACAGGCTCTAACCAGAGTAGAAATAGAAGTGGGAGGCCGCGTTGCACAACTGAGCAAGAAGATAAGTACATTAGAGTCTCTAGTTTGAGAAACAGACGCCTCATAGGTCCCCAACTGGTATCTTCATTAAATAGTACCCGCAAAACACCAGTGCCAACATCTAGAGTGAAGAGGCGGCTGCGGGATCCTGGGCTTCAGGGCAGAGTGGCAAAGAAAAAGCCATATCTGAGACTGGCCAATAAAAGAAAAAGATTAAGATGGGCAAAAGAACACAGACATTGGACAGTGGAAGACTGGAAAAAAGTGTTGTGGATGGATGAATCCAAGTTTGAGGTGTTTGCATCACAAAGAAGAACGTTTGTGAGATGCAGAACAAATGAAAAGATGCTGGAAGAATGCCTGACGCCATCTGTTAAGCATGGTGGAGGTAATGTGATGGTCTGGGGTTGCTTTGGTGCTGGTAAGGTGGGAGATTTGTACAGGGTAAAATGGATTCTGAATAAGGAAGGCTATCACTCCATTTTGCAACGCCATGCCATACCCAGTGGACAGTGCTTGATTGGAGCCAATTTCATCCTACAAGAGGACAATGACCCTAAACACACCTCCAAATTGTGCAATAACTATTAGAGGTGAAGCAGGCAGCTGGTATTCTATCGGTAATGGAGTGGCCAGCGCAGTCACCAGATCTGAACCCCATTGAGCTGTTGTGGGAGCAGCTTGACCATATGGTACGCAAGAAGTGCACATCCAACCAATCCAACTTGAGGGAGCTGCTTATGGAAGCATGGGGGGAAATTTCTCCAGATTACCTCAACAAATTAACAGCTAGAATGCCAAAGGTCTGCAATGCTGTAATTGCTGCAAATGGAGGATTCTTTGACGAAAGCAAAAAAGTTTGATGTAACAAAAATCTTATTTCAAATACAAATCATTATTTCTAACCTTGTCAATGTCTTCACTCTATTTTCTATTCATTTCACAACGTATGTTGGTGAATAAGTGTGACTTTTCAGGAAAACACAAAATTGTTTGGGTGACCCAAAACTTTTGAACGGTAGTGTACCTCTGCCTGCGGGCAACTTTTTAAAAATGCAAAGAAAGGGATTAATGTGGGAGTTGATAGTGTTGCCAAATTATTGCTATATATGAAAAATGTTTAGACCCCCTCAGCTCTAAATCTATAAACTTTAAATAAGATGATTAATGTGGCCCAGTCTGATAACCTAGTATGGATTACACCTACAGTGAGAAATGTTGAAAAGATTAATGTTTAATTTTAAACTAGCAACTATTTTCACTCTGATCTAAATAAAAGCTGAGCAGCATCACACATGTACATTCATTCAGTCAAGACGTTTTGTCATTTCTGCTGGTTATATGCATTTTTTCATAGGCCATTAAGCAAAAATGTGTCTGATATAAGCCTAGGGAGGTTCCACTTGTTGTAAGGATGTGAAAGTTTCTTTCTGATTCCTCTCTTCTCCATGGTTCATCCTTATCTCAACAGGCTGCATGATTTATTCCCTCTATAGATTCCTCTTCAGCTACTATCTGTGGAATGCAGGAAGATTTTTGTCTGTAGGGAGATTCACTGTTCATTATATAAACAGTGGTATTTAAATCAAAAGAATTTTTTCAGACCTTTACATTCTCTGCAGATATCTCAAGACACCTATGCTGGAAATACATTCCTAATAGATGACTCTAACTACACAGTTTGAGGTAATAGGTACCACTTTAAGCTGTTTTAAAAAGTCTATAAAACATTATGCATGAAATATCCCCACTTTGTTCATATTTAGAGTCCTCTGTGCAGCTTTCTCTGCTTGAGAAGTAGCTCACAGAAACAGAGTAAATAAAAAAAAAAAATAGATTTGCACAACCAGCCACAAATAAACCAGCATTAAGCAGAATTCAGTACCCCCCCTTATTAGTTATAGATTCTAATGACTTGTGACGGTCTACCCAGGAGGGTCATAACCAAATTGGCGGGTCCTTTCAACTTTGTGTTCAGTGACAGATCTTTCCATTAACTGTTACAGTTGTGCTTGAACGTTTACATAGCCTTCCATTAAAGAAACCTTCTTTGTGTTTAGAATTTTTTCTAACAAAAATTCAAAATCAATATATTATTTACTGAATTATCATTTAGTAATTCTTTAATTATATTACTTTTTAAAAGTTTTACTAGTGAGATTTTATTATTTTCTTTAATGGGAGGGTATGTAAACTTTCAAGCACAACTACGTATATCCAATGAACGCTTGTAGATCTCAGAAAATGAGTTATCTAAAAGCAGCTTTAACTGCGTGCTACTCACTGAAATACAAATCTTTATGCGAAGAGTTAAATCTAAAAGAGATCAATGCAAACTCTATTAGGTGTTGTGAAACCACCTTTGGTGGCTCCGGAAACCAATGTGCTCCACTTGTCCCCGGAACTTTGCTGCCGTTCATTACAATTTGAAGGCATTCGTTTATCAAACTGAGCCACCAACACGCTGTCTGTTGTGGTTCATGCTGTGTTTGTTATCAATGGCCCTATCAACATAGGGCCAAGCCTCAGCTGCCTGTCACATCTGACAAATGGTCTAAAGGTTTCAGGACCTGTGGCTCTAAAACATCTTCTAACATCAACCTCCTACCACTGTGTTTAACTGTTACCATAGAGATATTTGTGCTGATTTAATGTGTTTTTATTAAACAAGGTTATGTGCTTAATCTTTACATAGCTTTTATTGTGGTATTTAGGTGTTAATAATGACCAGGACAGCAGATAAGTAGTAACACCGCAGATAATAGTGAATTCACAACTGTGTGGAGTGGGGTAGAGAAAACAATAGACTTGTGTTCCTACAGGGGGTCCAGAAGGTCCTGGAGGTCCTTTGCTCTCTTGGGAACAGGTACAGGCATGAGGCAGAGGAGGACACTGCTCTTCCACTCTCTGAAAACACATATGAACAAAGAGCAAAGATTGAGGGCTTATATTATATAATAAGATAGGAAATGCCTTAACCTTGGCAAAAAACAACAACCCAAAAACAATAAAAGCAATATACACTTCACTGACCAGATAATCTTGGTATTACATAACTATATATGTACAGTGCAGTGTTTATTAATACCCCTAGCCATAGATACAGCTGAATAAAAGAGGAGTAAACAAAAGGTCAAGCAAAGTTAATAATTACTATCGTTAGAGCGGATGTTCAGTTTGATTTTCCCTTATCAGTAACTGGCAAGATGGAAACTCAAAAGTCTAACATTATGTGATATTGAATCCTTTTCAGGCTATAGGACTAAAAACAAATCCAGTATGGATGTCATTATGGAAGCAGATTCAGAGAAGTGCTTTGTTTTAAAAGGAAAATAATTTCTAACGAAAAATTTCTAAGGAAATATGTTTGGAAATATCGGGAATCCATTCAGACAGTGAGAAATTAAGAATGAAGCGGATAACAGGAAGGCTGAATGGAGTGCAGTAATGTTGTTCTTCCATTTAGTTTTATTCTCTTGAACATTTGGCGTTTAAATTGTCTGTTCATTTGAAATGTTTGCTGCCTGTTGGAAATGTCACAGTTAAGCTGAGGTCTATAAATGGAGAATACTATTTTAGCTTTGCTAAAGATCAGTAAAATAACAGGTTCCATTATTATTTTGCCTTATTTTTAAAAGAGTAAATCTCTGGAATACATATGGCAAATTTTATAACACAAGTATTTTTTCTAATACTTATAACACACACAAAAAATAACTTTTTAATTGCTTCAATCATGTTTTGTCCTAATGTAGTTTTCAAAGAGGGAGATTCTAAATTAACTTAAATCATAATGGGCAGATCAAAGCTACACCAATTTTTAGTTATTCAAAAAAATATACTTCAGTGTTTGTGTACGAAGGATAAGTTAGTATTTGTGGTTCTCAGGTAAGTAATACTGGATTAAATCAAAAAAGTTGTGTTTGATTGTAACAGCTGTCACCACAAAGACTTTCTGTGTCTGTTATAAACAGAAAATCCACTGTTTTGCGCAAGAGGAAGAAAAAAATAAACATTTCAATAATATGTCTGTGAGCCTTGGGTTAGTTTCTTACCAAAGCTGGCAGCTCACAACATTTATCTCTGCTGGCCCAGGACGTGCTGCAGATTATATCAAACATCTGCAACTGAAACTGCGGAAACACAGACACATCCAACCACTTCTATTACTTTACTACAAAAAAAAAAAAAAACACATTTTAAAATACCATATTACTACAGGTGGGACATGGTGTAAAAGCTTGGTTGTTAGACATGGATTTAATTTATTTAATTGTATATAAACCTCCTTTAACTTACAATAAACATTTTTGAACAGAATAAATAATTGGAAGATACACTCTGCTCATTCAAGACATCAAGCAGATGAGACTCAGTTTGGTAGTGTTTTAGTAAAAACATCAGTTTAGAATATAATAAAGGTTTTTTTTTTTTTTTAAAGAAGTAATAAAAGTAACAAATGGTGTGGGAACTCCCACCTAGGACAAACCAGACTTCAAATTTTTTTTTTCTTAAATGTAATTATATCCTACATTAGACATGGCAGGCCTCCCTGCACGACTACAGACTCTCTTCCCTTGTCTTATTTCAACATCCCTTATCTATACTACAAAACATGATCATGTTTAATGGTTAAAATAATAAAGTAAGCTATGCTTAGAGTGCCTAGACATAGTTCAAAAACCATCAAAGATAATATAAGTTAGAAGGAACTTTTATTAGTTTCTGTAGAATTCTGGTTTGGTTGTCTTTTTTTGGTCCATTACTGTAAAACATTACAAAAGCATCCCTTTCCAAAAATATCTGTACCCCACTTTTCTTGCAGATCTGTTGAAAATGTTGTACTTTTTATTGTGTGTTTATAGCTACAGATGGCTAAAAGGAGTACTGCACATCATCCTGAAAATAACATCTCCACACTCTTCTTTGGCACTATGGATACATATTTTGACTTTGCAAATCTCCCTATTCAGTAAATAAAATGAACTCCTAATAACGTATAATACAAAAAAACTGGAAATTACTGTACATACAACATATTTCTCCCGTGCTTTGTCCTATTTCTGTTAGTAGGTGTCAGTAACGGACCCTAAAGTAAGAATTTTGATTTCATTTTATTTAACATATTTTGATAATACAGTAGTATATTGATATCTATTAATACTGACTGGAGCAGAGCTGTCCCGTCTGCCTCTGGACCGAACCATTTTCCCGAGGACCTCGACTCCGTCTGTGGTGATATTTCCAGCTGCCCTGATGGATTTCTCTCCCACTGCAGAACAGTCTAACACCACCTTCACCGATGTCTTGCTGACAGTTACATGGAGCTGTGACAGAGCAAGAACAAGATCAGGAGATAATTTTCCAATTCTCAATCATCAAAAAAGTTTAGCTGTGAAAATATCTAAATTCTACTTAAACCTAAATGTGGTGAAGTACAAAATAAATAAAAAAAGCATTCATCTAGCGGCCACCTAAATGTGCCTGTAAAAGGAAGTTTAAACTGGACTTTTAATATAAAGTTTACAATATAAATAAGGGTTTCCCAATTTCATAGATTATCATTTAGCAAAATAATACTGGAAATTAACCAATGACTGAAAAATAATTAGATTTTTTTTCCTTTTATTTGTTGGGAAGTTTTAATCAATTGTTCAATTTCTGGGATCTAAAAATCTCTCTTCTAGTAGTTGTAGACATTGGCGAACAATGTCCACAATTTTTTATAGTACTCTATCAAATAATACTTTAAAAAAAATGTTATTTTATCAGATTATATTCTATTCACCTCTTAGTGAATTGCTCTAAATTAGTTTAAAGCTATTTTGACCTAATTAGAAGATCTTAAAATTAAACGTTGGTTTTTAAAGAAAAAAATCTATGTGATATCATAACACCATTATATTGATTATGGTTTTCAACCATTTCTATTTCTCTATCTGTGTGCAGAGTAGCTTGGTTTCGCTAATTTAGTGAACAGTTTTTGACCATAAGATGTTTGACTTTGAGTTGTTTTATTTTTGTCAATAAATTAGTTTATTTTGAATTGAAGATTTTGTGAATTTACTCCATACGTGTGTAGAGTTTACTGTGTGACCATGATTTGAGCTCTGATCACATTTCCATTTATTGTCCTAAAAACAGCCAGTTGGGTGTGTGTTAACAGAATAACATATGACAGTCTGAAAGGTTTTGAAATAGTTTTATAAGTTACAAAAGTATTAGATGAGAAATTTGAATGATACATTTCTCTAAATTTGCCTTAGCATAAAATAGTAACTTTGACAGATTTTGGTTCTCTGTGTCACTAATTTGATGAAATGAGGAAATCTTCATAAATGATTTTGAACAAATGTTATGTGTCCAGTGGCTTTTCTAGATTTCTCCTTTTGATTTAGCAGTAGCACTGTTTAGTTTACATTTACAGATACCTGTAATCAAGAAAAAAAAGTTACAGCAACACGCTTTCAGGCAAAACCAGCCTTGTTGGGCCAGAATAAAGCCGGACTCCTAAACAGGTTAACATTCCCAAAGAATGTTTCAGGAAATGAGCTCTATAATCATCCTGACTGTAAAACTCCTTTGTGCCTGTGTTTTATTTTTTTCTTTTAGACAAACAGTCCAAAGTCATTTGCAAGGAACAAACAAATGATGTCCATCCAGGCAGAGATCTGGAAGTTTAAGAGCTAAAACTGCCTACTTAGAGGAAAGTGCTGCCAGATCCATGAACCATCACATCCAGATGGCTATACAGTTAATGAGGAAAGAAACTGGCCTGCTGGTGAAGGACAGTAATAACCTGGACCATTAGCGTATATATGTTTTACCAATACATTTTCCCCCTCATGACCTCTTTGCTTTCGCTCATCTTCAGCAAAACCATATAAGCACTTTGTGTCAGAGGTGCATAAATAACAGAATTTCTACAGATACAATGAAAACAAAGTTCAAATGTTAGAGCCAGAATCTAGTCCTCTAGTGATGTGCGGACAGTTTCTTTTTAAATGACTTTGCATTTTTGACCTTCAGTCTGTATACTTCACTGGTGATCATGTTTGTTACGCCGTTGTGACATAAAACATAATGAAAAATCTCCATGGTGCAGGCATTTAGCTGGTATTTTATGGTATTCACTTAAGGTTAGAAGGTGGTTAGGGAATGAGTGGAGAGGAGGGAAATATCTATGGTATGTCAGCATCAGTGTGCGTTTGTACATGCCTGCCTTTCTGTGTATCAGCATTCTTCTCCAGGTACCTCAGCTATGACTCTGACCTTTAAGCTAAATGAAGATTATTTTGTTTACACTTCTGAGTCTTATAAAAAAAAAAATCCCCCTGTCAACAGCAGCAGGGACTAAAATCAAATGTTTGCTTCTGTTATCTATAACTATTTCTTTCTCTGGCGGCTGCATCCAAACAGCAGATTTGGGCTCAATAACATAAGGGTGATACGTTAGCATATCTCTAAAATGATGCACTTTTCTTCCAGTATTAAATTAAAGAATGGACAATACATCACCTGACACACAACTGTCAATTCAAATGATTAAAAAAGACAATGTTCCAAAGCAAAACACTGATGCATTCTTGAACCCTTTTGATTGAAATTCAGCAATCCCTCTTTCTGAGTTAACACATACTCTCCTTTATAGCGATTCAAATCAATTAGAGATAAAGTTCAAAAGTGCCAGTAGTGTTTTATAGACATCTGGTGATTTTCATCTTTAAAATATTTGGCAATTGATTATAAATATTTCTGCCAAAGGACAACAGGAAAGTGACTGATGGTCAGTTTTAACCCAAAACCTTTGGATGTTTGATGAATGCAAAACATATTTATTTGGCATTACTGTGAAATAAAATCTTAATGAAAGAGATTTTTGGAATGTCCTAGTCAAAGCTCATCCCTAAATTAGGGTCACCTGAAGACAGCTGTGAAAGTAAAATGGAAAGTTACAGTTACAGTACACATCATAGGTGCATGTCCACCAAAATCAATGTATATATTTGGTGCAGGAGCCTAAAAATCATATATTGTGAGTTTTGGCTTTTTTTTTTTTCTTCTTTTTTTTATTGTATGCACCTACGATGACAATTTCAGACCTCCCCATGATTTCTGAGCAGGAGAACGTGAAAAATACCGAGGTGTTCAAATACTTATTTTCCTCACTGTATATAAGTGAATACATTCTTTAATTAGATAAAATGCTCACACAATTTATTGGATTTTGACATATAATGGTCTGAAATTTGATCCCATTCAGTACCAATAATGGACCAGGGCCAGTGATCATGGCTATTCTGAACTATTAAGATCAAAATCATTACACTTTAGTTCAGATCTTTATTGATATAATCTTATTAACAATATTATGAAATCATTTAAAACAACTTATATATATAAAATGTTTATCAGTAGATTTATGTATGCACTGTGTATTTTAACTGCACCTCAAGAGACTGAGGCTTCTGAAAGCTAAAAACTGAATTTCTCCACAATGATCATCTACAGTACACAGAAACAGTTTTAATATGAAGGATTCAATCATTTGGGAAGGAACCAAAATAGCATTGAAACGCCTCTAGAAAGGGTTACTCTGAACCATGTGTGAGGTATAGCGTAGATTAACTACTTTTTCCCCTTTAGTGTCAGACTTTTTACAGCTATATTTCTCTTTAGGCCTAGAACTCACTCATTACTCTTTATTTGTCTGTTCCCTGCTTTCACCCATTTCTATTTTCTATCTCCCTCCTGAGTTTGCCAGCCTGTCTGTGGCGGTGCGCTTCAGTAAGCTTTGACAGATCCTACTGGGTTTCCCGCTTTAACATACAGCGTCTTCATATGGTAATCCTTTTCTAAAGGCCACACAAACAAGCTCATGCTCACAAACATTACTCTTATTCACTTGTCATCCTGTCTAAATAGAGGCAAACGCTTCCTTTGGTCTGGCAGCCTCCTGCATCTGTTCTTTTCTGCCCTGTTTTCTCTAACAAAGGCAAAAGACTCAATGATGGACAGCTACTCCCGCACATTTTGAGAAGAGGAATGGAAAATTAAAGGCTGGTGGGCGGCTGCAAGGTTGTTTTTAGCAAAAGTATTTTCTTTATAACAAAAATATAAAACAGATGCTACTTAAAGAAGAACAATGCATTGATTTGCAAATTCTAAGACCACCGTCTTATTCCCCGTTGGAAATATGGCTCCCAAATGGTGAAAGCTATTCAGACAAGATCTCTAAAGGATTGAATTCTGCTTATAATGAATTTCTCATTATAATTGGGTTAATCAAAAAGTTTTCGAGCTTGCATTAGTCATTTATTGAGCCTATGGAGACCAAACAGAGATTATTATGTACTCCACTCAAGCATCCTTGTGTATTCCATCATTTTTGTTTTTGTTTCTCAAATCTCATAAAAATAAATCAGTTTTTCTCCTGCAGAAATCTCACTGCACTTTGCTGCAGCTTCTCAGAGTAATACTACATTGTTCACATTAAAATTGCATATGCTAGTGTGCACGGTCCGTTCATATCTCTTTAAAAAAAAAAGAAAAAATGAATAAAGATGGAGTTGGAGGGAGGAGAGGGAAGGGCTCTTTAGTTGGAGGGAAAACTCTTTACAACAGTGCTGACAGAAACAGAACAACTTCAGCCCATGAGGATGTTCAAAAACATTCAAATACTTGTGGGATCCTTAAGAGTTCTGTGTTATGCAGCTGCTTGTACAGTAACCTTCAGCCCAGCTCCAACTGTTCCCCACTGTTCAGCAAAGTCTCAGAGCAGCAGTTTAAAGGTTTATCTGGACATTTACCATCTAACTGCTCTTTATAAACTTTGTACAATGACTTGTTAAATATTCATACCTTCTTAACTTTACAAAATTTGGTATATTCAACTTTTTTCTTTTTCAACCTAAAGCTTCAAATATATTACAACACAAAATGGTGCATACTTAAGCAGTGTAAATAAAAGCATTGTTGTTTTTTTTAATTATTTTTCAAAAATAAAAACTGTGGGCTGCAGGTTGTTGTGTAAAGCTTTAGATTCTGTGGATCTCTGCAGCATCTTCAGGGTCTGCAGGCTTTTTTAATAAGTGCTTTCCTTCTGTTGATGCTTGTTGACTGTTTGTATTTGGTTATTTCTATGTCATAGTTATGTAATGGATTAATCACTGCTGGGTGAAATGATAAAAGCTGTCATTATGACCTAAACCTGCTATCCCTGACCAGTGTGGTGCTTGTGATTGCTCAATAACATAAACCTCTGAGGTCTTCAGTTGTAAATTGTAAAAAGGTGGACAAAAGTGTCACATTTAAGAGGCCTGTTATGAATTCCTTTTTAATCTGTAACACATTTTATAAAAGAATTTATCGTTTTCCTCTAAAAAAAATAAGCTGGATTTTCTGTTTTTAAACATGATAAACTGTAGAAAAAATAAAGAAAGATTTTCAACTCTCTATTATTGCTTTACATTTCAATACACACACATGCAAATTTGTTTTTTTCTTTTGGAGACCAACCTTGTGGAAGCTGCCATGGAAGATTTTCTTGATGTCTGGTCCTTCAAATGTAACAGTCTGGAAGTCTCCTCTGTAGTCGTGGTTGAAGAATGTCAACGTCTTCCCAGAGCCTGTTGGCAGGCAGGTAGAGTGGTAATGGGATGAAGTTAGAGAAGGTTAAACTTTGCAGACATATGGATTCAGGTTGTGATGCTGTATTAAGAAAACAAGCAATTTAAGTGTTACTTTTTCTGCATTTAACTTTTATTCACATCAAAATGTTACAAGCAAAATGACTAGTGTGCATCCTGGAAGACATCTTTTTTTAAGGCAATAATCTGATTGTGAGCCTTGAGTTCAATTCAAGTTACTTGTATAAGGATATTTAGTCCCATTTAAGAGGAGTAAATAAAATTATTCCACTTAACCCCTCTTAAATATAATTATTTTAAAACAAAGCAGGGCCCTGATGTGTCTCCAGCTTTGTTTCTGAAATTTGAAAACTCTATATTTACTTGAAAGAAAGGAGGAGAACAAAAGGAAAGACAATAAAGCAGAAAAACTTTAAAGGACTTAAACTCACTGTCGAGTATTAGTCCCACGATCGGCTCATTGTCTTTGTTGAGGATCTCCCACAAAGCAAAGGGTTCCTGCGGGGTCTCAGGGAGCAAACGGAGCATCATAGAAACGGTGTAGTCTGAAGGCAAACCTTCAGGGTGAAGGTACCTGAGAAGGAGACACACAGCAGGCTTAGCTGTGCCTCAGGTTCTCTTTTATAAATGTCTTTGGTAGCATGTCAGGTGCTGCAGACAGACTGAGCAGCATCTGCCACCTATTCATGATTACAAAGCCTTTCTCGTTTTTAAGAAGTTACTTTAAGAAAAAAGGTTTTTAATATCACCCACAAACTTTTCATTGCTGACAAAAAGAGCAATCACACAACAGGAAAATACAACTAGATCCCATTGAAAGCATAAACAAAAGAAAACAGCTCCTGCAGTGATATCAAAATTAAAAAACTAAAACATTAAAGAATCTGAAAGAAGCCGATTAATATATCTTAATTACCTTTACTACTTAAAGTTTTTTTAATTTTCAGGAATGAAGGTAGTGGATAAATGCTCCCTTGGGACTGGCATCAAAATCTTTTTATTTGTCTTTATGAATGTAGTGTCTCTTGATGCTGAAGTAAGAGTTATGCTTTAAATCTTAGAAAATATTAAAAATACTTATTGAGTGGATTTAGAATGTTCTAAAATCTTATGTGGATAGTTATTAATAGCCAAAAGTATCCAAAGGGAAAAACTACTTCAGTGTTACCGCCACAAGAAATACAAATAAAACAGAAGTTGTAATTGATGTATGGCTGCAACTTTTCTTTTCACACTTTACTGATCTATGTGCTGCTGCATGGGGAAGGCCACATATACCACCTTAAGGCTTATAGCCATGAGAAGGATGTGTTCCCTTTCGCTTTCTGCCACTTTACTGTTCATAAAGCTGTCATATAAGGGCCATTGCTGCTACTAAAATAAACATGACACAATACCAATGTGTTTATCTAAAATGTTGCAAAACATTTTTAAATATTGCTTTGAGTGTAATGGAGCCTAGGCGGAATTTCAACTAAAGAAAGTCTGTTTTTTCATATATCCACCTACGTCACAGCCAATCGGCTTTGAACCACTCCTCCACGAAAGCCAATCGGCATCCAAAGCTCATCTTAAAAGGCCTCCGATACGCACTTGTCTGCTCCTGTGTGCATGCGGTCGTTGCGCTATTTGATTTTATTCAGATGACCCCGTTTCAAACCACCTCCAGCCCCTCCTCCACCATCGTAGCTAAAACTTCATCAGAGTGTCATTCCTTCCGGACTCTTACTGCGTTCCCTGTCTCTCTTAACTGGTCCGGCAGAAGACCACCATGTTGAGCCTGGTTCTGCCAGAGGTTTCTTCCCAACGGGGAGTTTTTCCTCTCCACTGTTGCTTCATGCTTGCTTATCATGGACAGGTTCTCTCAACCTGTGTTATCCAACTGGAGTTCCATCTTCCAGGTCCCTGAGTGAAGCTCTAGTATCAGCTCACGCAGTCCACTGGATCTCCCCATAAAGCTCAGCAGACCGTCTCACTAACCAGCAGTCTACAGACTGACCAACTTCATCTATCTCCACTCCACCACCAGTTTCAGGAAGTGGGGGGGAAACAGCCCTATTCTTTGCTCCTGTTCATGCATATCTATCAAAATTAAGCGCCATGTTTCCTGCAGAGATCTGAGCGCCAAAGGCAAAGTAATTGTATCAATACATTTCTCCTAATGATGAAATAAAAAAATCTAAAAATTTTATTCATCTTTAACTTGCCAGTATGATACAAAAAAACAACACAGATTTATCTAAAGTAAAGAAACTGTTGTGCACTCTGGTTAGAGTGTTTTTTTCCTGTAATGTCCAGTGTTTTATGTATGTCAAACTTAACATTTACAGAGTCAGCTGGGGTTTTATTAGACAATAAAAAATAGCTCACAAAAACTTTCGATTTTACTCCGTTAAGAGCTTCTGTGTTTCTAAAAGAAAGTATGTCCCAAGGAGAACAACTGATGTTTGTTCTGAAAGCTCCCACAAGCAATGGTCACTTTTAGCTTTGAGTGTTAAGAACGTTTTTGGGCAAACTAAAGAAGTAATTTAATATACAAAATGTTTAGCAAGTTTGGAAGTGAAACTGGAAGCATGATTAAGAGATGTAATTTTACAGTGTGTAGTTGGTGTCTCAGTGAGGACATGTTATTGCTCACTTGGTGGGCTGTGACACCAGAGCATCGCGGTGCAACCTGTAGCAGGGGTAGCTGTTAAATGAACCAGGCTCCATAGAAACTCCAGGTATGGTGCTGTACTCCTTCTCTACCAGGCCAAACTTCTCCATCATTTTAAAACCTGAAGCAGAATCATTAGAGTCATGGTTAACCCCTAAACTGATTACCTTCATCATCATCATCATCATCATCATCATCATCATCATCATCATCATCATCATCATCATCATCATCATCCTCATCATCATCAAACTGCTAAACTTAAGCAACATTATTGTCGTCATTGTTCATTTTCTGCAGAAGGACCTTTGTCAGTCTGCAAAAATATTAATAACTTTCCCAAGTTTCTTACCCGCCAGTGTATTGCCACTCATCAGAACAGATGGACAAGCTGAAAGACAGGGAGAGTTTATCATTTCTATGACTAATCTGAAACTAAACAACTTTTAAATTAACTCAAGAAATGCTGTGATTCTCATGTGCGCTGATTCTGTCTGTGTTTTTAAAAAAAAAGTGAGTTGGTCCTACTTACTGGCAGTGGCGGCCTCACAGACAAAGGTGATAAGCTGCTCTTCTATTTTCTTCACAGCGTCCAAATCATCCACGAAAAAGACGTGCCTGTCACTAGGTTTACTGGCAATATTCACCAGCTCTCCATAGTCTGCATCCGCAAATCCAATTGCAAAGATTATGTAGCCTAAAAAAGGGGTGAAACAGAACATTTTCAGACAAGCTTGGGGTAAATGACTTAAATTAAAAATGACTTCCCTAATTTAGCACTGTAGAACTGAGGAGTACGCCTATAGTCTAGGCATTTTAAATCAGATTTTTGAACTAAAAGGATGCCCCAGAAGTCAGAATTGCCACGATGAAATTCAGGGGATCTCCCAGGTTCAATATTCAAATAAAACTTACTCAAAGTTGCAAAAATGGCTACATTTTGACTCTTTATAGGTAGCATTTCATTAATTCACTGTCATCCAGTGTTGTTCAATTTAAACTATTCAATATTTCTTTTGGTGTTTAAACACATCAGTGGGAGAAAATAAATTCTTAGCTTTTATTATTACTAATAATTGCCTGTTGTAAAGCTTTAATCAAATACGGCTGCTATTAGGGATGCACGATATTGGGATTTTGGCCGATATCCGATATGCCGATATTTTAAAACTCATGTAGCCGATAACCGATATCGATACCGATGTTAAAGCTGGACAAAAATAAGTAGTCATTGAAAATAGCAGTTTTGTTATCCATTTCTGACACTTTGAAAAATAATATACTCAAATATATTTTTATATGCTGATATCAAATTGATTTTTAAAAACGCCGTATCGATCTATTTTACTTTAAAACCTCGTGAAATTTCATCGTTCTGTTACAAACTCTCGTGATATTTTGCAAATTCTTGTGAGATTTTGTTAGTAAAATAGATCGATACTGCGTCAATATATCAACATATAAAAATATGGCAAAGTTTCATGAATTTTCGGGAGATTTCATAGCATAACGATGACATATAGCAATATTTCATTAGTAAAAGAGATTGATATGGTGTTTTTAAATGGCAATATATCAGCATATGAAGATATTGGGATATTTTAATGTATCAATATTTTTTCCCTCGTCTTTAGAAGATTTTAAGTCTGTAAAAAAGAAGTTTTTGAGGAAGAAGAAGAAGTAGTATTTATTTTTTAGATTTTAGAAACTCAGAAGCTGATCAAATATCGGGTTAAATATCGGTGGGGTGGCTGATGTCCGATATTCAGTTTTAAGGCCGATACAGGCCGATACCGATAGGGTCCGATTATATTGTGCATCCCTAGCTGCTATGCATTACTATGCAACTGAAGTTGCAGGGGTTTTTTTGTATTTATAAACACTTCAGATGGTTTTGAATCTTTTAAAACGGTTCATTATTACAATATAATTAACAATGAGGAAAATAACCATATGAAAACTGTGATATTTTGCAGGTTCACCCACTTAGAAACCATGGAGAGATCTAAAATTGTTACCGTAGGTGCATGTCCACTATGAGAGACATAATCTAAAAGAAAAACAAAATATCCAGAAATCATATATGATTTTTTTTACTATTAATTTGTATGATACAGCTGCAAATAAGTATCTGAAAACCTGTCTATCAGCTAGAATTCTGACTTTTAAAGACCTGCTAGTCAGCCTTCAAAATGTCCACGTCCACTCCATTTATTATCCTAAATTAGATGCACCTGTTCAAGGTCATTAGTTGCATAAAGACACCTGTCCATCTCATATAATCAGTAAGAATCCAACTACTAACATAGCCAAGACCAAAGTACCATCCAAAGACACTAGAGACAATATTTTAAACCTTCACAGGGCTGGAAATGGCTGCAGGGAAATTACCAAGCAGCTTGGTGAAAAAAGGTCCACTGTTGAAGCAATCATTAGAAAATGGAAGAATCTTAACATGACAATCCCCCTCGGAGTGGGGCTCAAAGCAAGATCTCACCTCGAAATCAGCCCTGAAATACAGGAGCTGGTCAATGACCTGAAAAGAGCTGGGACCACCGTTTCCAAGGTTACTGTTGGTAATACACTAAGACATCATGGTTTGAAATCATGCATGGCTTGAAAAGTTCCCCTGCTTAAACCAGCACATGTCAAGGTCCTTCTTAAGCTTGTTAATGGCCATTTGGATGATTCAGAGGAGTCGTTGGAGAAAGTCATGAGGTCAGATAAGACTAATATGGAACTTTATGATCATAATTCCACTATCTGTGTTTGGAGGAAGAAGAATGATGAGTATCATCCCAACAACACCATTCCTACTGTGAGGCACGGGGTGGTAGCATCATTTTTGGGGGTGTTTTTCTTCACATGGGACAGGGCAACTGCGCTGTATTGAGAGGATGACCAGGGCCCTGTATTGTGAGATTTTGGGGAACAAACTCACTCTCAGTTAGAACATTAAAGATGGGTCCGGCCTGGGTCTTCCAACATGACAATAACCAGGATAACCAAGGAGTGGCTCTGGAAGAAGCATCATAGTTCTACAGAAAAAACATTTTACCTCTGGAAATGCAAACAAAGGCTACGCTACCAACTGACAAGATTGATTTCTTCAGGTGTTCAAATAGTTATTTGCAGCTTTATCATACAAATAAATAGTTAAAAAAATTTTGATTTCTGGATTTTTTTTAAAGAATATGTCTGTCACAGTAGACATGCTTCTACGATGACATTTTCAGGCCCCTAAATGTTGAAAAACATCTAATCTCATTAGTTTTACGACTTTCAACTACATCACAATCAACACAGGTTTTAAATTAGTACAGCTCCAACTTCTAACATCAAACTTAGCAATATTTGCAAGTCAGAAATCCAGTGAATCGACCAGTTTCTGTTTCATGGTCTACTAGCAGCAAACAAGTAAATATAAACTTTTATTCATCTCATGTGCTTGACAACCAAAAGATTTATAGAACTATGTATTCCAATAAAGGTTTTAGGCAGTATTGCAGTCTGAATAAGGGTCCCTCAATTCTGGTCCTCAAGGTCAGATTGTCCCGCACCATTTAGATAGGTTTGTACATCAACCTGAGTAAAAAATATATTTTTAGCGGATTCTGGAGAACTTGACTGCCCAATGAGGAGGTTGTTCAGCAACTGATTCAGGTGTGGAAGCAGAGACACCTCTAGAATGTGCAGGACACCAGATCTTGAAGACTGGAATAGCATTTTCACATTTCTGAAATGTTGAAAATCCAGCTCTAGTCAGCAGAGTTTAGCTCTCCAAAGTGCAAGACTGGGGTGTAACTTCATCTCCCAATCCAAGCTCTGGTATCCAAGACAGATATCATGGTATAGTCAAGAATTTTACACTCAGTTAAACAACACACATACCCTCCATTTGCATCTCCTTTGACACTTTGTTGACATCATCTTGTGAACGACCATCAGTCAGAACTACCAGAACCTTGGGAACACCCCTCCTCGCTCCTGCATCTGAGGTGAAGATGGATTCCTTCACATGTTTAATGGCTCGACCTAAGAAAAAAAAAACAATTCAGATGTATAAAAACAAAAAACAACAAAATTCACCTTAGCCTCATCAATCAGCCTTATGACACCTATGCTCTTAACGGGTTATCAGTCATTTCCAGTAAATGTCTGACTCACAGCTTCGTGCAGCTCATGGGCTGTAAAACCTACATTACCTACAAAACCTAAAACATTAAAAGGCTGTTTCATTACTCTGACGATTACTGTATGTTCTGGTTCCCTTAAGTTGCAAAAAACTCCCTTCATCAGAACCAGCCTCCTCATGGATTTACGTCTTTTAAATTCAACCCACATTAAAAGGCTATTTATGAATCTACAGATAGAATTGGCTTCCTTTGGTTAAGTATTATTGCTGCTTGATTATCCGTAAACTTCCTCAACTAACAGTTTAATGATACAGTATTATTGTCAAAATCGATGTGCGGTGAAACGTCTGGAGAAAAACACTGGAAAATACAAGCTAGCAAATTTATATGTAACTGTACAGCTATTAATCTGAAATAAGTATTTATAAAAATTTAACAAATAACACCCTAAAAGACAGAAATGTTTCCACTTCGTAAAAAAATAAAAATAAAACAATTGTTTGGCCAACCACAACAATGGAACCACAGAGGAAAATCCTGTCTGATTAAGAGTACATTAGTACAAATGTATTTATTTATTTTGGTATTGGCATTAATAACACACAATACTGAAGGTTAAGAATTGTTAAAACCTCACAAACTTGCCTCTACCTTTAAAGCTGACTTGGAGACTGAGAAATTAGACTAACATAGATAAGTCATGCTGTAGACTTTAGCAAAAGTTGGCAGTGGACTGATCACCTGCTAATAAAGCTTATCGTTCAATATCAAATGTCTAGACAGCTTTAAAAGGTTTCTAGGGCCGCCCCTAGTAAAGGCCATGTCTCTGCATACTGCTCTGTGAATTTAATAAATCCTTACTTGAACATGGATAGGCTTTGGCCTCACCGCAGCACAGCATTAGATATCATAGCTATTTACAATGTGTAGAAAGGAAGCATTGCCCTGACAGCTCATATTTCCCCATTAAGATAATAAATTAAGAGGTATCAATATCGAGCAAGTAAACAGTTAAATTTACACACAAGATGTTTTATAATCCAGAGCAAAATAATCATTAGGTGCATTATTATTCACATCAGCAGGTCATATGGGATCTGCGTTAATGCTTATGCAAATAGATCTACAGTCTGAATGACTTGTTCAGATCAGGTGATAATTAAACTCAAAATGTTGCATACAGTCGACGATCACCAATTAATTGATCAATACTGTAAAGCTCCATATGCTCCTTATGGCTCCATCATCAAACCTCAAACTAAAGTTTCTGATGATATAACTTTCTTTATTTGTCATGAATCTGTCAGTGATAACAATGACAAACTGTCAGCCTGTGAAATATAGTGATGTCAGACATCTGGGAGCGGTACATCTGTTTCTACACTCTGATTGTAACGAGCATGACTAGAAATACAGCAGCTAGCAAAGGATGAAGTGACACACAAGACAGCACATGGAAGGAGGGGGGGTAGATAGAGCAGGGGATTGGTGGATGGAGATTAAGACAGATTAAGACAGGGTTCTTATGAAACAGCAAACATTGAAGCTAATATATTATTGCACTTTTCAAGTAAGTTTATGTTCAAGCATTGCTTGTCAAAATGCAATCCAATTTCGAAAGAGTGTTTGAGGACAAACAGGATTTTCTGCATTTTTCAGCTTTGATCCTGCTGCCTAGGAAGTGTAATACCATTATTAGAAACATAATTATTCAAATAATGTCGTTTTCATATAAAAAACACATAAGCCTGTTGAAAACTAAGAAGGATTCAAGTCATACACAAAGTAATACATAGCCGTGATAAAGATCTAATGATAATGGTCTCACAGTTTAATGCTGACCAACAAAGTGCACTTTGAAAAATCCCAAAAAACCAAACAGTTGGGTTGATCTTGCTGTTATCAAACCAGCATTTAACTACAGGGTCAAAGATTGTGACCCAATATGGGGTAAGGCTAGATGGGCTTATTGTTTTTAACCCCTTAACACCCATTGTTGCAGATATGCAAGAAACCCTTTGTATTAAGTACACAGCCAAAAAGGCATTCCCTCAGTGCCAGTTATTCAACATTTATGGTGGACCTGAGAACCTTGGCAAGCTTTTTCCATCACTTGATAATGGTGTGTTTCACTGACCATTATATATGTTGTCACAAATTTGTAATATACCTTAATTTGTACTTAGTTTTAAAATAAATAGAGAGTGTAAACATTTCCATTTGGCAACTACTTAAAGGCAAAAGACTTATATATATATACATATATATATATATATATACATTTTTTTTTCTTTTTTTTTTTTGATTCCTCAATTTGTATATGTATTAAGGAGTCTACGGTGTAACAGAGGACTTTAAACACTTTGAACTAATGTCCTAACTAAAACACAACTCTGTGAAATTATCGTCTTTATTCAGCAATATTACATAATGGTACTGTTAATTTTCCTTTTTAAAAGATTTAATTTCAGTGAAGTCTGATGGTAATGTATGGCACGGCTTATACACTAAAGGAAAAAGGACAGATTTTATCTTGATAATGTTGTGACAATGTTCAAATGTATCAAGCATTAAACTCCCTTTTGTTGCTACACTTTCACGTTGGCAACATTGTTTTATTACCGGTACCTCAAAATAGAAGGTGTGATTTGAATCTTACTACACTAGATTACTACACCATGTTGGGTAATTGTACTTCCTGCGGTGGGGCTGTTAGCTTTTTAAAAGCAAAATCAAATGAAAAACCATTTAGGTAGCGACTTAGTTAATGCATTTTAAATAAATTTGTTAGCACCTAAAACACAGCAACTCTTGTAAAAAGATCCAAAACAAATGCGAAATCAAAAACTTTATCCTAGTTTAAGCAAGGTATATTTGTATAAAGGTAAAAAAAAAAAAGCAAGCAAATGCTTAAAAACAATAACCTTAAAATTGTTTTGTGTATGTGGTTTTAGTCCCTTTACTCTGATATGCTTAAGTAATATCCGCTGTGAGCAACTGACTTCATAAGTCACTAAATATTTTAATAGAGCCAACTAATTCATTAATCTAATATCAGAATAAATGCAGTTCAGTCATGTGAAGGCCTCGCAGGTTTGAACACCAAGAAACACTGCAGAAAGGTCGGGAAGAAACTTGTGAGCAAGGTAAGGTTATAAAACAATATCACAAGCTTTAAGTATTTGATTAATCTCTATTTAACCCAGCATGGTACAAATATAAACATTCCAAACTATGGCCTATTATCTAAACTGACAGGCTGAAGAGTCGGAGAATGAAGGAAGGGGGTCATGGGAAATGTGCAGGAGTTGCTGCAAGGAGCTGCCAACAGAATCTGAGGGGAAATTCTGCTGGCAGAAGAAAAAGAAAAAAAGCGATTTTTGAAAAGCTAAACCAAGTCCAACTATGGCTGAAGCAGCATGATGCTGTGCATTCCTCAGCAGGGACAGGACAGCTTTGAGTTGTTAGGAAAATTGATAAAGGTTAAACAGAGAAACTCAGGATCCAAAAAAGATTCTGCAAATGACTTAAAACTGGGAGGTTTTATGTCAAAGAGCTCCAACTTAAAATGAATGAATGTTTTCTTTTTTTGTATGTATCAATATTTCACAACTGCCTAGCCAAAATCCAGACCTCAATTTGGTCAAATCTACATGGGAACAATTCAACACTTATCTTAGAATGTTTTTCCAACTAATCTGGCTAAGCTTGGGAAAATATTTTCCAAAAAATGGGAAAAAATGTCAAACTTTTTGTCAACTGGACCTGACATCTCCCCCCAAAAAGATTTGTCATTTAAACAGTAATAGAAAACAGGTTCTGGTTGTGACAAAATGTATTTAAAGGTAAAGGTGTATGAATGCTTTACTAGTTAACATAAATCCATAATGAAAACAAATAAAAAGCAGTTCATGGATTTACCATAATATTAACTATAACAAATATTATTGCAGGCAGCATTTTAACAGAATTTGAAACCCTACATCTTTTTACAGTTATTCTAAAACACATAGTATATTTACATATCTTTAAAACAAAGCAGCTGTAAGTTTTGTTGATAATAAATGCCACCTTTGTTTTTTCTTTGTGGTAAGCATAAAGATAAAGACTTCCTCATTTAACCATGTAATGCCAAATGTATCATATTTGATAGATACGGTTTCTGAAATGTTTTGCGTCTGACACCTTTTGCATAATTTAATGGTAAAAACTTTGCTCAAAATCCTATTGTACACAATCAGATATACCTGATAACAGAGGGCAGAAGACTACACAAAAAATAATCTTGACTTATTGCATAGTAATAAATTATTAATATCAAAAATGTATTTCTGTTTATTCTTTTTACATATTTTGTTAAAAGGCCAAATAAGGACTTCAAACCAAAATAAAGTAATTTTCTGTTTTGTTTTATTCTTGGATCTGGCTTTAAAGGGTTGAACATTCAACTCCTGTAAAGGTGAGAGACAAAGAGAAATAGGCAGATAGTCAGATCTTGCATATGTGAGCATTAGTTGATCCTCATGAGAGCTTGCTGCCTCTGTTTCTGACGATGAAATATCATGGTTCATTTTCTGCCTTTCAATAAGAAGCATGCATTTTGTTTGGATAATGTCATGTCAGCTATAATACTCGCTTCATCTCCTTCTGTTAAGCTGTAAGCAAATAGAGATGATATTTGTGGAGACCTGCGAACAAAACGAAAAGGATGAAGAAAGCAAAGTGAGAGAGGCAGGAGGAGAGAGAAGGAGGTGGGCCAGTATTAATTTGCAAAGAGGTCGCTCACAGACTCTAGATGAATGAAAGGGCTGCTGACAACAACATTTCCAATAAAAACAGAGACCTGTTGAATTACTGACAAAGATCTTGTGTGTTTAACGGAGGAATCTTTCATACTGCTTATTATGCCTCCTGACTCTGTATTAGATGTGTGTTCTCCCTGCAGTAAGTGAAAGTTTTGCTCTAGACTGAATATATTTAGCTGAATAGATTTAACAGGCTTTTTTGGCAGCGCCGGGATGAAAAAAACATCCGGCTTGACAACCTATCTTGCAGATGTTTACAAAGTACCACAATCAAATAAATAAATACTAATAAAAATGTCATATGTTTTCCTACATAAAAAAAACAGAGAAATACATTTTTTCAAGGCATTAAATAAAAAAACAATAGTTTATTACTCAAAATTCTGCTTAACTGCTTCATATTTCCTTTTCTAGCCTATCAGGCAATAAAACTATTCCTACATCTTGCCAAACAGAGTCTAAAATCTGATTGATGCACAACAGTCATCTGCTGACCAATCAGCTTATCTGAAGCCCTATTAGCCCCACCTCTCAATAGCTAAAATAATTCCCAAAGTGCTGCAACAATAGGAAAACATACATTAAAATAAATGGTTATAAATACTCTATTGACTGATACTGAAAATATATTATAACTAGTTTTTAACACTTCATTAAATATTGAAGAAGTCATCATCAAATTTATGCTTAAGCCATTTTTATTTTGCAACATCTATTTATTGATTGTGTCTTCAATTACATCTAATGGCGTTGTTACACCTTGACGATTTAGCCAGCTTATGCCGATGTCCCAGAATCTCCTAAAAAGCTGGCATACGCTGAACTTACTATGTATTTTTTATTTTAGGCGTATACATAGTGTATTCATAACGAGTCCAGAATTTATGTCCAATGAAAATGTATCTTATGCATAACGCACAGCAGCGTTGTGCCCATGAAATTTCACAAACCAGTGTCCTGAGGGGGACAGCAATGCGCCCGGAGGCGACCGGTCTACATAAAAAGCACAAGAAGTAGTTTTCTCTAAACTTCGTAGTTGCGGTACTAACCTAGCCAAAAAAAAAAAGAAGGAAGGAAACAAAGAAAGAAGGTTTGCAGACGCAGTATATTCAGCATCATTCTGCTAGGAAGTTTGTTGGTCGTGGGTTTGAACGCAAGGAGGATCCATCAAATTCATGGATGATACAGGATGGATCAGCTGGAAACAACGCTTTATGTGTTACTTACAATTAACAAATGTCAACGATCACAAAACTTACCTGTAACTTATGGCCCACATATGATCATACGCTGGAAAACGTCAAGAAATGTGCTTAAAATTTCTTAACGTACTTGCCGTATGTTGACATGTATCAGTGTGCTCATAACTTATACAAAACTTACCCATAACTTATCCAGTTTACGTCAGCGTTTCTGACAAATTCTTTGTACACTGGGCTTTAGCTGGCTAAATTGTCAAGGTGTGATAGCGCCATAAACGATCAGATATGTACTCAGTGATATTCATGTTTGACTCATGGGCCTTTTGCGCCTGATATGAAAGGTTTTAAACAAGTCAACATGTTTAATATAAATCAAAACTAAAAGCTGATATGAAGTTGAAGGCATGTCAGCATTCAATATTGAAACACAATGAAAAGAGGCATTGAAAAAGTAAACATTTCTCCAATGCATTAACATTTCACAACATGGAGAACCAAGGTTTGGAAATGAAGCCTGATTAACTTGAGAGATTCTGGAGATCTTAGAGATTCTTTTCTTAAAAATAAGTCATTTCAGTTAGTCAGACAGTATTTCTTTCCAGAGATGTAAATAGATCCTTCCCACTGCATTATGAAAACACTCATTGAAAAGAAATGTTAGTTTAAAAAGACATTGTGGAAATATTAGGCTTAGAGCTTTTACTCCCAGGATCAATATTTAGGACCATCTAAGGACTCTAAGCTGTCTAAATATAAATCTGTTTTATGAGGGGAAACTGCTGTCTGCAATACTGCTATGGGATTTCTATCAGACATCTGAGGTAAATTTAGACTGAGGTAAGACGAAGAAATAATTGCGAGTTACTTTGAAAATGAAACCGTCAGCCCAGTAATCAAGGTAAAGCCATTCTCTAACCTGTCTTGGTGTTCCCCCCCTTGTATCTGATCTTCTGGATGGCTTCCAGCAGCGCTTCCTTGTTGCTGTGAGAACTCAGCAGAAATTCTGTCCGTGCATCATCACTGAACTGAGCAACGGCCACCTGAGGAGAATTGGACATGGAAAATAAGTTCAGAGGACAGTAAAAAAAATATGATTTCAGCATTAACTTCCTATCCATCTGTGCCTATCATGTCTAAAATCCTGCAATAAAGAAATGGATTTCTCAGAAAACAACTGTCCAGCTGATTCACATTAGAACCAAACTATCATCACTTCAGAGAAGATTCAACATTGGTCAGCACAGGTAGGGTTCAGAAAACTTCAAAACAAGAAATAAGTCAGATTACTTAAGTTAGGCTTTATAAAGACACACATTTGCTGTTGAGTCTAAGCTACTTACGTAATATCTATTTCAGTTTCATTTGAAATGTTCAGACAAATCAAAAAATCCATAATTTTATTATTGGACTGTATAGCATACAGATTTCTACGGAAGATGATTAGGGCCACTGGGAAAAAAAACAACAACTGATTTTTAAATTTTATTTCAGTATAAAATAAGAAATATAATCTAATCTAAAATAAATATAATCTCAGAATTCTGACTTTAATCACTGAATTCTGACAGCTAACAAATATGTTAGCATCAAGCCGTAGCTATGTCTGTTTTGAAGACTAAACTAGCCCTTGTGTGTTACTCACCTTCTGCTCTTCCATTAAAGAAATAGTATCACCGGGGACCCCTCAGGCACATAAAAAAAAAAATCACCTAATTCCATCATTTTCCACCAATGTGTTACTGTTCCTCCCAAAAAACTCACATCTTTGACAGTGAAGCTGAGTGCTTCCACATCTCTTCTTTCATGGTGCCCATCTACATTAAGATCCAGAATTCTGAGAAAAAAGACAGAATTCTGAGATTAAAGTCAGAATTCTGACTTTTTTCTCATATTATACTGAAATAGAATTTAAATATCAGCTAACTTTTTTTTTTTTCACTGTTCCTAATCCTCTTCCGTAGATTTCGCGGGTATTTTATGTTATATTAAATATATTAGTTATGTTAGTGTAGATATTTATATGCATATATGTGGACATATCTAACAGGGAGAGAAAGGGAGAGAGGGGAAACTGAGATCAAAATAAAAATTAAGGTTCTAAGAAGCCTCTATTTAGTGTAACTTAATAAAAGACTTGTACCAAAAGAGTTGCTGTTCAGAAAAGTTGTTCAACAAATTACTATTGGGTGTGTGATATAAATGCATACTACATTTTATATTTTATCATGAGTAATATTCAAAATGGCGTATAATGTGTCTTTCACTTCTCAACTTTGCAGACCTTTCACTTAGTCTATCATCTTAAATCAAAACACTTTTAAATGTGTGATCCAGCACAAATAAAAGGGAAAAAGTTTTGGTGTGAATATTTTTATAGGGCACTTTATGTTTAGACATCTAATGCTGATCTATAATCAATCTAATAGCCTTCTCTAAGAGGGATGGCCTCCTATCATCCCTTTAACACCACTAATGGTGCTGCTGTTGGCTCAGGTCTGATTACATTTACAGGCCAACTGCCTCTTTACAGTGCAGCCAACTTTCTCACATTACAACCAGTGGTTTGCTGTCAGCATCCCACTGCTGGGAGGTTATAGGGAAAAGCAAAGACAGCAAACTGCTTAACAGCAGACATTACACAGATAAAAAAGGAAAGGTTTAGCGAGTACCTATATAGTGAGACAAATGAAGCAGCTGAAGCCTACTGACACTGTGGAGGCCATACAGGAAAGAGGCCCGTATAAATCAGTTCACACAGGCAGAAAGATGGAAACTACCACTATTTCGAGTCAGGCATTGCTATTGATGAGCCTTACCGAAAAATAAATTGTAAGACTGAGGTACCACAATTCAGAGAAATGTCTGTAGTGCTTTCTTCTCTGCTTGAACTACTTGATGTTTCTTTTTATGCATTTAATTCATGCAGATTTAACTTATTAAAAACACCATTCATGCACAAGAGGTAATGTTTCCTGGCAAAGTACACAGTGGCAGCAAATGAGCAAGTTAATCGAATGCAGCACAGCAACTTATAAGTCCCTCCAGAAAGTAAAGATTGACTCACTAGGGGAAAAGAGTTCCTTCTCACTCTCCTAAACTTTTAAATAGATAAAAGGCTGCAGCCAAGAGAGTTTCTCAGGGGAGTGACAAATTAAAAAGGGGTAAAGAAAACAGCTACTGTGCTATATAAAGTAAGACAGAATTGGCACTTTTCTCTTAATAAGCAAAAACATGAATAAAGTTTATCGATCCAAGTGTCAATTTAAGAGGAACAGTGAATTTAATTACTCCTTTCTTCTTCAAATGCAGAAATGTCCTAATAATAGCAAAATTACCATAACCCATATTAATACATATGAAAGCTTAACAATTAGCAAGCAAAACATTTGAATTGCTGAAACTATGTTAATTCTGTTGGGATTTTTAGCTTTCCCAAAATTGCTTCCTAGTTTCCAAATATATTCACATTTTTAGTTCAAGAATTTGCTTTGCATTATTTACCCACTAAGAATTTGTTTTACATAGAAATCTAAGAAAAAAAAAAGTTTAACAAGCCTCACAAACATCTACAAATAAATAATGGTACTATGACACAGCATATCATTTGGCTTCATCTAAGCCTATTATTAGCATCCTCTACTCTTGCATCAACCTGAATATAATCCTATATTACTGTACATCCATCAACATTCTCTGCACAGCACCAACCCATCCCCCCCTAGCCTCTCTAAATTTGTCTGCAGGTAAATGGAACAAAACACAGAATGGATACAGGCAATCCATGTATTTTCCTACAGAAACCTTTTCTGAAGAATCTGACAAATAACAAAATAAGGGAATATTACATAGATAAAAAAAAAATGTTTATTCTCTTGGAAAAGTGCTCAAATTGAATGAGTTTTGAGAGCTGGTAGATAAAACTGAGGCCAAGTAATGGGGAGAACAACCACAAAACAACAAAAGTTAATGCATAAATGACTCACCGCATAAAATACAAAAGCAATGCAGACATTTACATATAACAGTAGATAACTCGCATACCTTTAATACCTCTATAGCACTTTCAGTGTTCCTCTCGTCTCTATACATGCGTAGTCTGCCTTGCCTGGCCAGATCTTTTTTTTTTTTTTTTTTTACTCTGCAGGCCTTTATGTATCTGCTACCTACTTGACAATGTCATCTGCAAACATCATAATCGTTACCCTTTTTATCACCATTTCCACTAAAACTTGCCTGAGAGCTGATGAGAGCCTGAGGGTCTGTTTAAGATGCAGGTAAAATCCCCACTTGGACACTGAAGCGACTCTCTCACTCTGACGCATCCATTCCAACTACCTTAGTAGTATAGCTTGTACCTTAGCCACTATATTATTCTAATACTCTTTAACACTCCCTTGAAGCAAGTTTTTTTTTTTTTTTTTTTGGCTTTCAAAAATTAAGTCACTAGCAGAAGCTAATGAAGGTAAAAACTGCATCTCTGTTTAAAGACAAGCAAAAGATTTAGACACTGAGTAGAGTTGACATAGCTGAGGATAAGGTCATGTGACAAACCTGGGTGCCATCTGGTCCAATCAGATCTAATGAGCCCATTGTGCTGTAGAGAAAGCGTGTGATCTTCATGAAGTTGTCATCCCCGATAGACCAAGAGCCATCAACCAAAAATGCCAGGTCAGCCTTGGCTTCCTTACATACTGGACAGATATGACAGTCAAAGAGAAAAACTTAGTCAGGTCTTTATTTTACATCCATCATCTTATATATATATATATATATATATATATATATATATATATATATATATATATATATAAATAAGACTTTCAAAAAGAGCAGAAGTCTGACAAAGACAAAGCAAAATTAGAATATTAACAGGCTGTCTAATATATTCTGTCTGATTAAATATTCAAAGTAGGAATGAGAGCAAAGACACATCTTCAATAAAAGGCTAAATGTGTAAGGATCAGACTTTAAAAACAGTCTAAACGTAAAAGTCAAAAGAAAGATTAACGATGTGCAATTATTTCAAAACTCACAGAAGTAACCTATTTAATGGGTTTATGTATTTCATGTCCTATCCTGCTAGCAACTTAGTCCGGTTCTTGGCCTCGCAGCTACTTTGCTCTCTGATTTTATTCTTCTCAGGTTTCTCAATTACTCCCAGAAGCCATATCATAGCAGCTGTAAAGTTGTTCAGGGTTTTTAAAGGCTTTTCATTCTCGAAGTCACCAAATTCCAAGCAGTGTTTATGACCCTAACGGCGTCGATAAATTTCAGGGAAAACATGAAAAATGTTGGCACTTCTGAAGCAACAGAAGAGCATAGTACAGGAGAACCTTGATGGCTCAATAATTTTTCCACTTTCTTTTTGAACTACTATATCAGCCTCCTCTCCAAGCTTCTCTGTTTCTACTTTCTGCAGACAGATCTTTGTGTTTATTTTTTTCTAACCTCATCTTCTTTTAAGTCATGTGTTTTTGGTGCAAAAACCCCTTGCACTAAATTCTCACTCACCCTTTTTTTTATTGTTCTAAACACAGATGGCATGCTGTTTGACATGGAGGCATGTCTGACAAAGGTCAGAATGTTAAACAGGAATGCCTAAAGACGGGCTCAGCAGGTGTGCCGGTTAAGGTCTGAGGGCTCTATAGGGTAATGCGACCTTTAAAAGGAGAACTAATCTTTTGGGTGAGAGTTTTCAAATCTTTCCTAAGGTTGTTTGTTATTTTTTATGTGAAATAAATCAGTTGACTTTAACTATAGTACAACATAACAAGTTAGAGTTACTGTAACCCTATGCTCAGTGATTATGATTAAGCAGGTTAAACTTGATATGCTTTTAGTGGAAATTATTTATGTTATAGATATTACAGCAGTAACCCCCCAAAAATATTGTCAAGGTTGTTAAAGATTCTTATGTCAGAGAGAAAAGATTTCCAGGAACCCAACTTCAGTACAAAGTCACTCAGTATTTCAGGTCACAGAGGGATATACTGTTCTGAAATGCTTCCTCTACTGTGCAAATGTCAATTTATTAAAGGTATAGAGGATGATCTTTTATTCTGGGTGGATCATCTAAATAAGTGGTCCTCCTAAATGTTAATCATACTGGCGAAATGTTTATGTAAGGCCTCCTACGTGCTCACTATGAACTATCTTTTTTTTCACATGCGCACTTTAAGGCTTATATCTATGGTGAGCTACGGTTCCAGACAGTCGTTAAAGCTCACTTTTCTCACAGCGGTCAGTTGAAAATGGCAGAGGGTCATAAGAGAAGACGTGTCTATGAAGTGTGTGAGAAGAAAAGAAAGGCCTCAGAAGAGGCAACTATAACCCAGAATGCTTTGCGTGAAGAGTTCTCCTCACAAAGCATAACAGTATTTGCTGTCACAGCGGCATGCTGTTGCCATAGGCTATCACTAGCAGTGACTAATAACAAAGATGGCGAAGGCACCGCGCAGTGGGGGAGGAGTTACGTGATTAATGGAGAAAAAAGCAATGATCATCGGTCTGAACGGTCAGTTAACTGATTTTGCTATAAAGTCCACTATATATTGCCCAGTGTATGTGGACACAGTAAGCTTGTATGAACTCTAAGAATAGCACATTTTATACAGGGCGTGCACAAGAAGAAATGGGCTTGTACATGCTCTTGCACACACATTTTTGCTTTTGGTGGAGAGGGCGGGTCTTTTAAAAAATCCTGCACAATACCTTTAAGTCATTTAGGTTTGTTTGATTTAAATTAACTATCTAATAATACATGCAATGCTTCACCCAGACATACTACTATGCTGTAGATGCAGCATCTTTCTCTGGAGTCTGGGCGATGACTGTCCTGCTGGTTTTCTGTTATCTTTAAATTCTGATCATTTCCATATCTGTTAGGTTGTTTTGCTGTATCAGAGCCAATATTTCTCCAAGCAGAACATGAGTTATCCAAGCTAACTTTTTGATTAGCTGCACCAACACATGTGGAAATAACTGTAATAACCATCATTTAAATAATCTAGTCATGATGCTTGTATAGCAATTTATTTACTTACATCTTACTATGTGAAATACAGCATTCCTAAAGAGATCAAAAATGTATCTAATCATCTTTTTACCATTTCCCCCAGGGACATATGCGATTGAGGATCACAGAAACCTATTGACTTATAAAGTAAATGAGAATTTATTGAAAAAATATTAGTTCCTTAGATTACATTTCTTCCATCTTAATAAATAAACTTAAGCTAGAAGTTTAATATTTCCCCAATTTTCAACTTTTACTATTGTATGAATATCAGTTAAATAAAAAGATTTTTCACTCATCTTTACTGGGGTATTAGCAAGAGTGCTGCCTTCATTAGAAAGTGATTGGTATGATGACTCAGTCTGCTTTAAATAAAACTGCTAGCAAAATCATGGATGAAGCTCAGTATAAACTCGACTAAAACACACATAAAAATGTTCCTGTTTAAAGTACTGCACCCATGAGATAGTCAGCTCTTCTTATTGCAGTTCAAATGTACCTTCTTTAGCAGGTGGGATGGTGGGAGTGGGCTCTGTGGTGGGAGGTTCAGTCGGAGCCTGAGTGGGCTCTGGTACTAAATTAGTAAAAACACAAGGAAGAAAGGAAAGAAAATACAGCAATGTCATCAGGAAATTCTGTCAGAGTTTATATGCAAATAAAAAAATCATATAACATATATGTGCACCAAAATATAAACTAAATAGCACTGAAGGAGAGCTTTCTAATCAAACTAAAAGCGTTCTAGTTTTTAAGCATTAACAGAAGAGTTCCATTCTTTTCTAGAAATAAAAAATACAGGAAAATATATATAGTTCATAAAGTATCCAGCAGAAGTATTTCTCTTAAAACAACCAGCCAAAATTTCAACCAGCCTTAAAGTAACCAACACATTCAATATTAGCTAAAAACAATATAGCTGATATATTACATGGAAACGGTTAGACAGAGAAAGTACTTTATTTTCACCATTCTGGGGCTAGCTCTGAGATAGAAATAAATATAGTAACTGGTTAAAATTAATGCAGTATATCAGTTTAATACCCCCAAAGCCTTTCAAGTGAACTTAGAGTGGATGCAGATAAAAATATTCAGACATTAACTTTTGCAGAAGTAGAAACTGGGACTATTCAACCACTGCTGACACCAAACCCTTGAGCTACCTGCTAAATCAAATCCCCCGTCGTCTTCTGTATCAAAGTAGGGATGTGTGTATACGATTCCACATTTACAAGGTAAGTGCCCCTTTTTCAAGGAGATGTAAAATCCAGCTCCTCAGTTAAGTTGAAGAGCAATGACCTGTAGTAGCAGAATTTATCTTCTCAAACTTAGACAGAGATGTGAAAAACTAAAAGGCAAAGAAAGACTTTGCAGAGTTGAGATGAGTGCATGGGAGAGAGATGCTAAAGGGGTCTTGGAGAAAACGGGCTTCAATGAGAGTGAGTCATAGTTGATGAATACAGTAGGTTTAAAGGCATATTTTTGGTTTCTTAGAAAAAAAGCATGCATACATACATGTCATGTCAGTAATAGATACAGATGGTCCTTCCATTTCTTGCATTTGAGTGTTTATACTGATCTGGTACTGGCTGCTGGGTGTGAGCTCATAGAAACAGTGGTGTGAAGCTGAACCTCCCAGGGTTAGTTCTTGTCTCTGACCATCTGAAGGCAGAAAAAGTGAAAGAAATGATTAAAACTCAGATGAAGATATTTTGCAAGAAATAAACCTAAACCTCCTGGATTATGTTTAAAACTGGAAGGCAAAACCCGTTAAGGTAACCTGATGAGGCAGCAACCCTTGTAGGTTGACTACAGAACAAAAACAATAAGTGGATAAAAAAAAACAATTGAAAAAGACCCTCAGTGCATACTGTTTCACACCATGTATCTTAAATTATTTATTATTTTTTTGTAAAAGTTTTGTGAGATCTTAATTTTTCTTTTAAAAGATGCTCAATCCCCGATAAGTTAAAATTAGTCAATTCTGATATGCATAAAAGCCCCTCAACAATAGGGTACACAATCCTTTGGGGAAGACTTATCCACTGTTATTTTGAGGCTGGATTAAATAATGAACACATTTAAATCTGTGCTTGGCAGAAGATCATAACTGCTGTCAAGCCAGCATCACCATCGAAAATAATGTTCAAGTCAGTCCTCACAGGGTTTTGTAAACAATGTGAACGCAATAAATTACAGCAGTAAAACTGGCATGGACAGATTAAATAGCTATTTTAACCCCTTTGATTATTTGAATACGAAAGTGAAACACTGTTTTTACTAACATACCATTGTCATCTCTGCTCCTAAAGTACTGTATGAAATGAATAAAAGTTATAGAAGTGATAAGGGCCATAGAACAAAAAATGTTACCATTGTGTGTCCTTGTTCTAAAAGAAAAACTCTGACCAGTGCATCGCTATTCATAAACTAAAATTGCAACCTAATCCTTCTGCTCTTCTCATTTTAAGAAGGTCAACATTTTACAATAACCATCATAAACATGATAATGTTTGATAATCATTTTTAAACTCCATCTAAACTATTCATAAAAGGTAAACTTACTGATATATATTGCCCAACCATGTTAGTTGATCCCTAAACCTAACATTGGTGGGCTTTCTGCCTACTCCTACTTCTGACTTTGATTTATATGGAGCTGCCATGTTAGTTGAACCCCAACCCTATCATCAGTGGACTTTATATATGACTTAGTTACCTTTTATAAATGGTTTAGGTGCAGATATTTATATATATTAATCAAACATTACTAAACTATCGATTACTAAACTAATGATTAATAAATGGACTATTCACCATTTATAAATGATGGTTTTCATGATTATTTTCAAGTGTAACTGTGAGAAGTAAACTTGTGACTCAGCCTTGTCCAGGCAGGAGGGAGAGAAAGGGATAAATTATGATAATAAATATTAAGATTTCCTTTCATGATGTAGCATGATGTTTGTCCAAAACAAGTGGCTCATTTATTCTAGTGCTCTCTAAAGCTGCAGTAATATCTAAAATCATTGCTGTGAAATATGCTGTAATATATCATGGCAATAGCAGAAGTATTTATACCTTATTATTTTTTTTATATTTTCTCATTGCATCAAGTTAAATTTAACTTAATTGAATTTTATGTAATTGACCAATATAAAATATCACCAAATAGACTATGGTAAGGTAAATGACACATAGTTAACAAATAGAAATCAGAACATTGTGAAGTAACACTTTGTAAAACAACCATTTTGTGCTCTAATGCAGTTGAAAGTCTCCTAGGTTATGGCTCTGCCCAAATGGCATGTCAAGAAAAAGCTAAGTCGAACTGGATGTGAGGTGTCCAGCAATTTTATAACTATGGGTTCTTAATTTGATTTAGGTGTGGGATTTGAATAAGACAAAGATGCGTTGATCTAAATCTTTCCATTGTAGCTCTCCCCGAGTATTTAGGTTTAACTATGACATGTTAAACTCTCCCTTCCAAAAACAGCATCGTCATAGCAGTAATGTGCAATTTTCCTTTCCTTTTCTTCCAAGCCTACTGTTTAGCATCAAAAAAACTTTCAGTTTTCTTCTTATCCGAAAAGAGCACCTTCTTGTTTATTGTTTCCTGCATGTAAACGTTAAACAGGCCTTCAAGATTCAAATATATACGTCTTGGCTATATAAAATAATTGACGTTAGCGGTAATTAGTTTTCTAATTGAATCCTGATTTTGGGTGGTCTCATTTAGTACAGGTTTGCAGACTCATACTGTAGGTGTAAGATCTGCTGTGACATGTCAGCATCATCGGTAACTTGTTGAGAAACAAAAAGATTTGCTATTGTACTTTATAGATTTACAGCACTTTTATGAACAGAAAAGTTAATAAAAACAGTTTCAGAGGTCAACTCTCTATAGTAGAGAAATATTTAATAAAGACTGTAAAATTCTACTCATGGTCATTAAAATGCTTGTTTAATTATTTGTCATAAAAACAATATGCACAAATGAAGGAACCATGATTTGTGTTAAAAAAAAGAAGACTTCATTAAAAGCATTGTGCTAGTTTGGTACAGTGCAGATACAGTCTTGTAGCACAGATGGTGGTTTTCACACCTTATCACCATATGAGACAAAGTTGGCTCAGATGGAAAGTCTGTTGAGGTATTTACCTAGAGGAACTATTATAGTATATTATCAGAAATTAGATGCTGTACGATTAGGAACGACTGACTTTAACTCAGACATTTTTTCTTTAGCTTTAGGTGAGTTGGGATCAAAATGAATCTCTCATTAATGGATGTCAAAATAATCGGGGAGAGAACTTGATAAACAGTGTTTTACTACTGTCAAAGTAGAATTTCACATAAAGCAAGATAATTTGGTGGGTGTAAAGAAATCAGTCAATATTTCAGGCAGAGAACTCTGGCCATTATTCCTAGAGCAACATTAATTATTATTATTTAATTAGTATTTTTTGGAGCCTTAACCAGGCATCTGATCAAACCTGAAGTGTTTGGCCATAATAACCAATGTTACATTGGGATGAAAAGGTATTAAATAAGATTAATTTTCTGTGTCTTGTTAAGAGTAAACTTAGACGAGACATATCACGTGTGTTTTGAATTTTCTGCCCTGGGTTTATTTTATTTGCTTATTTTGGTTTCAAGTTTCATGGTTCTTGTGCTTTTTTTGCACATTTTTTATGGTTTATGTTTATGTTCACTTTTGTGCTAAATCAGGCTTTGTTGAAGTTGTTTCCGTCTTCATCACATTTTATCTCTATAGCCAGCCTCTTAGTCACTGCTAGCCTCCAGCCTCCCATCTGTCTCCATTCAGTCACTGAGACTCTAAAGTTTTTTAAACTTTTCAAGGGATCACATCTCAGGAGGTAGGATTTTTGTTTTGTAACTAGTGGGTTGCCGGTTTGAGCCTTGTGTCCTCAGGCAAGTCCTCAGGCAAGTAACTTCACCTGCCTTGCAGGCAAATGGACAAGCCCTAACATGTATGGTAGCCTCACTTCAGTCAGTCTGCCTACAGTGTAGCTTGCCACTATCAGTGTGTGAATATATCCATTTGTCTAAGTCAAATAGAAATATCATCTTAAAAAAGGAATTCCTAAAAATCATTTTGTACACACGGTTGTATAGAAGCAGACACTGGTTTGCACAAGACATATTAATATGGACACATAAGAAAGGTATAACCTCATAATGCTTAATGATGGAGAAAATATGTCTCTTTTTACACTAATGTTAATCAACAAAAAGATTTTTGCAGCTTATAGTCAAAAGCTAGACATTTAAATATGTTTAAAAACCTTTTAATTAATCAAATAAGCTGAATTTCCATTGGAAATTCTTACTTTCTATCATAAGGAAACATTTACTGAATTGAAACTAGTTGTTACAGTTATCCATAGGTTGATTAAGCCAGTGCAATGACAATTAATTTCATCCAGTTACAGAACCTTTACTAAAAGAATTCTCTAAAGTCTTCCTCCTACCTCCAGTTGCTACCAGTTGACATTTTTACTCTGCATGCAGCGAAAACCTTTTTAAAGGTTAGAAACAAAAAGGTTTTTTATCCCCAAGAAAAAGATAGCTAAATCCTTTTTTAAAACTAATTATATAATGTATAAGGTTTCTTACACATTCATTAAAATATATTTGTTTCGTAGTTTCAGTTTCATCTAAATAAAAAAAGATAAAACAAACATTCTAATACTGAAAAGCAGAGAGCTTTCAAAAAGCTGGTAAACTAACAGAGGTAAGCATACTTACTGAGGGTGGACTGTATGGAGAGCCGATATGAGGTGGCGTGTAGAAGAGGCTGCCACTGAACACACATGCTCTTAGGATGCACCTGATAGGTCGACAGGCCAGAAACACCAAGGAACACTGGAGTAAAAAACAGAGATAGATTCGACATGCACCTTTAAACTTCTGGGAGGAAAGATGTGAATCTCTTACACACAGACTTGGACCAGTTAATGATAAATAACTTTTCCTACCTGCGATAAAACAGAAAAAGCAAAACAATACATACGTTTATGATAAGCTGATGGTCTACTTGATAAAATGGTAGCAATGGGTTTGCAATACTTAGCAAGGAAGTAATTTGATTATGGCATTTTACAAGCCTGGATAAGAACAGGAACATTTTACAGCCTTTTCTTAGGTTGTATCCATCAATTCCTCGCGCCTGTCCATCAGTGTTCATTTAAATGTCTAAATTCATTCATAACTTTGTAGTGCTACACAACAAAGGTTTCAGAAATGTGGAATTTAGAGTAATCGAATATATGACATTTTTACAGTACTATGAATATAAATGCTTGAATGTCACTGTCCTTTTCTCTATTTACACAATCAGAAATTAGGGGTTGTCAGGTCCAATTGACCTTGGTTGCATTTTTTTACAGCTAGAAATTGTATGCCACTCAAAAAAAATTTTAACTATTCAAACTGTAATACATTAATAAAGGAGGAACACCTTGCACTTACTCTCTTTGCTCTTTTGACATACATAGGTGCAGTTCCTACATTAGTTCTCCTATAAATCCCTTCGTCATGTCTGTTAACCCTTTAGCAAATATTTATCAGCCAACCACTGCATCTTATTCTTTAAATATTGCTTTACCTTGTACCTTCAACCCTATATGTTGGCTTAATTTTCCTCCACATCCAGTTTATATTCTACAGCCTTTATCTGTCAGTGTTTATACTAGGTGTTATGCAGCTCTGAAGTCTGACATGCATTTGAAGGATGAAACGAAGAAAAAGACAAGTCATATACAGTATAATGTGCATCTAAATTATCTGATTCAAAGGCCTCTTTAAATAAGATGCAGTGAAAAAAATCTACTTTTATGCAGCACAGAACTTTGTTACCTCACAAAATTAACCTAACAGACAACCTTTTCCAGAATCTCTAAAACTGACAAGTATGGTAAGGTGTGGCCTACCCCTCATTTACTGAAAATAAGATTTAACTTCTTAAGCTGTTTCCTAGTAATTATAATATTGTTAATTTTCATTTTAAAAGTTAGTTGTCTCGCTGTAAGCATAAAGCAGATGTCATGTCAATGGTAAAAGCCAGAATTTATTTTTCCAATTATTGAAAATTGTATTTTCTCAGACATTTAAGGTATTACTATAACACTTTTAAGCTAATGCCAGGTGGCTTTTGTATTTTTCTTCTAACACAAGAAAAGGCCTCCCATTTTGAGCCCATTATGGCAATGGTAACAGCCTCATGATCTGGCTTACAGGTTTCGAAGATAAATGAGGCCTGTGGTGAGTGGGGTATTGCTAACAGATGGTTAAGTTGTCAAAATATATTTGAGGTTTTTTTTTTTTTTTTACGAGTTCAGAGGTAGTCCTGTAGTAACAGTTTTTTGCTCTTTACAATTTCTCATTGCTACACAGCTGTTCCTTGTTTTTCAGAAAACCTTCCTCCTAGCATTTGATCCTTTCCATCTTCCTCCTTAAGCTTTTCTTGTTTTTCTACTATTTTAACACCTTTCGATTTTTTTTCTGTGGTGCTGTAATACAATTCTGCTTAGTTCATTCTGAGGTTTGTGCCATAACTAGATATTTTTCATCATGCAACTGACCGTTCCACATTTATTGACAAAAAAATTAACCCATAAACAACAACATTGAAATACAAAAAATACATAATATACAATGCATTTAACTTTTAAAGTGAATTTTTACAGTAGTCATACTATACAACCAAATGGGTGGTAAAAAAAACAACAACCTTGTAGGCTCCTCTGATATTGATAAAGTCACACACCTTTTAGCATGTATGTAAATTAAATGTTCATGTGTTTACTTTAATCTTAACTTAATTACATGATAAAGAAATTATGGAATTGCTTCCGATTAAATAACTTAACAGGAGAAATGAATCACATTATTAGTGTGTGCAATTGGAGAGATTAATAAACATAAGAGTGGACAATGCTTACATGTTAAACAGCTCATAAAGGCTTATGGTTAATATATGGCTCACGCCAAATAAAATCATAAAGCATGTATTCATATTAATACTGCATAGTTAGTAAGTAATGTAAATGGCTAAATTTGACTTCTGGGAGAGATTATAGTTTAAGTTTTACTAAATGTATTGTTCAACCTTTAATTCTTTCTCAGTTTGGAGAGCACTTAACACTTTCTTACTTTTTTAAAAGATATAAAAAAAATATGGAAACTGGATTTGCCACAGACCAAAGTGCTTTCTAAGATTAAAATACATTTATGTTTCTTTAAAAGCTACAGCGTCTCAATAAAGTTATTTTCTATGTTGCATGTTACTGAGAGTAATTTATTTGGAGCAAACAAGTCTTTTGGCTTTCATTGTTTCCAAGATTTAATTGTAGTGAGAGCACTCAGGGGAAATATATTACAACACCCATATTACTACACTGCAAAGTGAATAATAAATTAGTTCCTCCCATGAATTGTAACCAATACCTGTGTAACATGAGCAGATCTAATACGTCTGAGAATATAGCACAGCACAGAGAACTGATTGCATTCAGAGGATACGTATTTAGTGTTGTGTTGCTGCCAGATATGATAAACAAATCAGAAAGTGATGTAAATACATGTGCAGACAGATGTATGAGGAGTCAAAAATTGGATATGATTTTAAAAACAAGACAATAAACAAAATAAACAAAGATAAGCTAAAACAACAACAAAATTGTGGTTATAGTTTTACACTGGGAGGGCTGAAAGGGAAAATCAGTGAGAGATAAATGCATGATGTATGAAATGCAGTAATGTGCGTACATTATCTTTTTATCAAATATCTTACCATTTCATGAATTCTTCATCTCTTTGTTTTAGACGAGACTAAACCACTGATATGCAAAATCTATATGCAAAAAGGGATTGTTCTCAATTTCGGAAAAGAAAATATCAATAACCTTCTGCTACTCTGCCGGTTTGCAAAAGTTTCAATGGGAATTAGTGTGCATGATATAAGAAGGCAATTAATATGCATGTTACATTCATACTTTTCTAAAATGGCCCTCCTCTTTTTGCAACAACAGCCTCCATCATGGTAATGCTCTCAGAAATGTTGCCTAAATTCAATTTAAAAATATGTCGGTGACTTTTTATCCGTTCAATATTGATCCCACCTAAAACTAAAATATCTGCTGTATCACAAAATTGCCTCATATTAGCTTCTCTGTTTCAAAAAGTGCTTAGAGTTGTACTAATCATCTATACCCCTTAAAGATTTGTTTTTTATTTTGACATACAGTATTAAAATCAACTTCAATTGATTTTTTTGTTTTGAATTTGAGAGACAGGCAAAATAAAAGTTGAGTAACTCTTGAACTTGTTTTTTAAAAGGTTTCATATTCATTACTCAGCTTGATGCTGGGAATTTTGTCTTTAGTTTGGGCAAGAAGGCTGGTCAGCACTGAGGGAAGGATGAATGAAGGTTAAGGCAAGGGATTCCTCATCATAAATCTTAAGATGCAACAGATTTGAGACTGTAGTGGAGGGTTTACCTTCATGTAGAACGACACTAACAAGAGCCAGAGAAAATAGAATGGTTTAAATCCAACACATTCATGTCAGAGAATGTCTGAGAAAAGATATACCGTATTTTCACGACCATAAGGCGCACCGTACTAAAAGGCGCA